TCTTTCTGCAGAAGCTCCAGCTGGCTTCTCTAACAAGGAGTCCGTCCAAAAGGAGGTGAAAGCTCCACTTTCCCAGAAAGCCACTCTGAGTTGTGAGGTTTCGGATTCCAAAACGGAGGTAAAGTGGTACAAAGATGGCAAGCTGCTCACTTCCAGCAAAGCAGTCCACATGGAGTCAAAGGGCAAGACTCGTGAACTGGTGATAGAAAAAATGGATAAGAAAGATGCTGGAGAATACACTTGTGAGGCCGGAACAGAGAAGCTGGCGTTTAAGCTGCAGTCGACAGGTAATATATATTTCTAGTATAATTGTTGATCGATAATTTTAATCACAAACCGCTAAAAATATGTTTTTCTTTGTAGATGTAGCCGTCAAATTCCAGAAGAAGCTGGTCAAGGACACATGTGTTGTTCAAGCAAGTGAAAACGTTGTTTTAACCACTGAGCTGACTGCAGAGAGTGGTAATGTGAAGTGGTTTAGAGATGGTGTGGAAGTCAAGGAGAGCAGCAAGTATGAAATGAAAAAAGATGGCCTGTCTCGTACGCTGATAGTGAAGTCCACAGAAGCCAAAGACAGTGGAACGTACTCCTGTCAGACTGCTGATGACAAACTGGAGTTCAAAGTTCAGGTTAAAGGTCGGTCATTGGAAAGTCTAAAACACAAACCATTGCTGTATGTAGATGTCTGAAGATGGCAGATTTTGTTTGGATGTTTAATTCTCAGGCTTTCATTTCAGATGCAGCTTTGAAGTTTGTTGTGCCTTTGAAACCTGCTACAGTGGAGCTGGGAGGTACACTTAGCCTGATTTGTGAACTAAATCAGCCCTCAGGGGACGTTGTCTGGCACCATGATGGTCGTGAGATTAAACCTGGAGGCAGGTACTCCGTCAGAACAGATGGTGCTAAGCGGGTTCTTACCGTGACTGGCATGACTAAGGAAGATGAAGGAGAATACAGATGTGAATGCAAAAATGACAAGACCTCTGCTAAAGTCACCTCTAAAGGTAATAAACCATTTACCGTAACTCAAAAATCAGTTTCAGGCTCAAAGCTGTTTAATTCACATCAGTCTGCTTTATTCGTTTCAGCACCGAGACAAGTGAGGCTGACCACTAAACTGAACAATGTGGCAGCGATGGAGGGAAAAGATGCCATTTTCAAGTGTGCCGTGAGCCCAGCAGATGTCAATGTTAAATGGTTCCACAATGATATTCCCATCACTGCTGGGTCCAAGTACAAGCTAGAGCATGGCGGCAGCAGTCACTCGCTTACCATCATTTCCGTCACTCAAAAAGATGCAGGAGAAATTAGTGTCGATGCAGAAGGCAAAAGCTGCAAAGCTACCCTGCAAGTGCAACGTAAGACTGGGAATTAATCGTTAAAGTGTTTATATTTTTAAACCGTTACTGCAGCTTCCTTCATTCTCTTGCACTTCCTCTGTGCCCTCATCAGATGAACCTGTGACGTTTAAGAAGAAGCTGGACAACCTGACGGTGGAGGAGCAGAGTGAGGCCAAACTGGAAGTGGAACTCAGTAAGGCGTCAGATGAAGTCAGGTGGATGAAGAACAGTGTCGTGCTGCAGCCGGCAGGAAACATGGAGATTCGAGTAAATGGAGCCAAACAGGCTCTGGTCTTCAAGAGTGTGACTTACGCCGACCGTGGAATCTACTCTTGTGAAACTCTGGATGACAAGACCCAGGCCAAGCTCAGCGTGGAGAGTAAGACTGATCAGCGTTCACATTTTTAAGTTATGCCGTATAGTGTACATCTTCCAGGGATAGCATAGTACATAGTTTTAACCATAGAAAGAGCATATCGTTCTCTAGTAATGTATGTATGGATCAAAACTCTGATATACAAGCCTTTCAAATCTTTCCTTCTTCCTCCAGTGAAGAAGATTCAAGTAATAAAGGCTCTGACAGAAACCAAGGCACACGAAACAGAGACAGTGACTCTTGAAGTAGAGCTCAGTCAAGCTGATGTTGAGGGCTCCTGGAGCAGAGATGGGGCCAAGTTAAAGTCGGGGGCAAACTGCCGCATCACAGCTCTGGGGAAGAAGCACGCCTTGACGTTGTCCAGTCTCAAGAAGGAGGATGCGGGAACTATTTCCTTCCAAGCAGAGGGAGTCCATACTTCGGCCAAGCTGATTATTACAGGTAAAGGCTTCTTTCTTTTAGCCTACTGGGCTATTGGCCAAACAAGTCACTTTTTGACTAATGTGCTGATTCTACAGAACCTCCTGCTATGATCTCCAAACCCATCATGGACATCAGTGTCGCTGAGAAGGAGAAAGTTACCTTTGAGTGTGAAGTGTCCAGAACAAATGCAGATGTTAAATGGTTCAAGGTAAGAAATTATTGTTTGAATTATTATCTGCAGATTCAAATAATGTGTGCAGTACAAATGTGACATTCTAAAAAAAAAAAAAATCAATTTGCAGGATGACGTGGAACTGAAACCGGGGAAAAACTTTGGCATTCATTCCTTGGGTCGAAAGCGCTCTTTGGTCATCAACAAATGCACCCCTGAAGATGGAGGCACTTACATCTGTCGCACTCCGGATGATAACACCTCAGCCAAGCTCACGGTTCACGGTAATTATTAATCATGCACAAAAGTAAACAAACCAGCCAGATACTATATATATAAAACCAGCATTACAGTTTTCAGCATTTCTAAAAAGCATTTTCCCTGCAGCCAGAGAAATCAAGATCGTTAAGAAGCTGGAGGATGTGGAGGTGATGGAGAAGGAGAGTGCCTCATTTGTCTGTGAAGTCTCACACGATGAAGTAGAGTGCCAGTGGTACAAAGGAAATACCAAACTCAAAGTCAGTGACAACATCAAGATGAGACAGGAGGGTAAGGCCTCAAGGGATCAGAGAGCCAGTTGTATTTTTATACACGAGTAATGATCAAGACTAATATGATGTTTGGTTTCAGGCAGAACCTATGTGCTGCTGTTTAAATCGGTCACTCCAGAAGATATGGGTGAGATTAAATTTGCAGCTGAGAAAGCATCTTCAACTGCGAAACTTAAAGTGAAAGGTAAACAAGTGTTTGTGCTTCGTGCTCTGAAATCTCATAACAGCTTACTCTGTGTGCATTGTTGCATGGAGTTAGTTAACCGGTATGTTGCAATGTTTAATGGGATTGCAAATGGATTATTTCTATTCACTGTGTCAAAAGCTTTTAGAAAGTTGCAAATAAATAAACCCACCCACTTTGGAACTTTGGAAATTTTAAACAGCTTGGTACAATAAATTCAGAATCCTACTGTGCAGAAGTCACGTTATGTTTGTGGTAACCTGAAAGCAGATTTTGTTAATTGAAATCAACATTTCAACTAATTTAGTGATTTCCAAATGTAAAATTTCACTCTGAAACTAGATGAAATGTTGTATTCCTAAAAACACAGTGCACTGTGCTGACAGTATTTTGTCTGTCGAGATAGAAGATCCACTTGCAACTTTGCATTTACATTGTTTTTCCTCATTGAGGCCTGATGGCAAAACAGACACATCTCAACAACAACACAACTTATTGTTTTGCTAGCTGAGGTTTAGGACTATTTTCCAGGGGTTTTTGATTGAATGCAGGGACGTTATCAGTCCATCGACTTTGGACATTATGGGGTCATTTAATTGGATTGGAAATTGCCAAAAAGTATGAGAAGACGATTTTATTCGGAGACAGATTAGTGGCATACTTTGCCATCAGTTGACTATTACTTGCCGTAAATTGCATACATGTGCTGTCTAGCTTCTATGTCGGTGTCTTGTGGACGCAGTCAAGCAGAAACTGATGAACATACCAAACAATAATGACTAGCACATGGTAATTTCTTTTTAATGTGCTGTGCCATTATAGATTTCTGCTATTTGCTTTAGCTTTTGCAAAGAAAACGTAAGAACTCAAGATGCATCAAAAGCGTTAATGTATCATTAAATTTTAGCCCCAATTTGCTTCAACAAAATTGGCCATTCCATGTCCTATAGTGCGCCCAGGCAATAGCTTTGGCAAAGCCTTCGCAGCAATAGCCAGTAATGTTCCTTTGTGGCACATATGATAGTTTTCATTGATGCGGTGTTATTGTTGCTGTAGAGCTGCCTGTCAAGTTTGTGAAGAAACTCAGGGATAAGATAGCGATGTATAAGCATCGTGGTCATCTCGAATGCCAAGTGTCGCGGGCCAGTGCAAAGGTGAAGTGGTTCAAGAACAAGACGGAGATCAGAGCCGGCAAGAAGTACGAGATCAAAAGTGAAGATGTGTACCGGAAGCTCACCATCAATGACGTGGACGATGGGGACGAAGACACGTATACGTGTGACGCCACCGATGACAAGACGTCCTGTAAACTGCTCGTGGAAGGTAACGCAATGGTGATGATGGCAAAGGTTAAATCTGAGCTTATAGGGTGAGGGGGTAAATCATCACAAAACAAGCCATCCAAGTCAATGAGGTACCTGTCTGTCCATCTGTTTATCTATCTGAAATAATGTACTAATAGGAAATATGGAGACTTTATGTTGATTTATTTATTTGTAACAAGCCTGACTTACTACATAATTAACATAGAAGTTGGTTTTTCAAATTATCTGTGCGAAAAACTAATTAGCAAACCTTTAATGCCACTACAGGTGAAGTAACCCATGCAGGTATTTTCCTGTTTTTTTGTTTTTTTTTTTGGTTTATTAGGCTTTTGTTGGAGGTGGTGGTTTGGGGTGAATTATTATGAGGTAATTTCAGAAAATACCTGTGTGAGTTTACCACAAACATGTATTCAAAGGAGGCTTTAAATTGTCTTCTGACTTGCACTGGATGTATAGTAAGTGTCATACGTATTTGTGTAACTCATATGATGTACAATTTTAGCGTTTTTAGAGTAAGTTGTATAATTTCCAATACAGCACTGATAGTGGGTTATCATAATGGTTTCAGACAACACAGTATTAAAGATAAATTCCTTGGTTTAGCTGTAGCTCTTAAAAGAATTCCCTGAACCCCTAAATACACTTCATACTTGGGTGTAAAGACGCTGACAGTGCCTGGAGGAAATGCGGGGATATGTGGGCAATCTTTAAAAGTAATCATATGTGAAGGGCTATTATTAAACTGACGTATCATATTTGGATTATTTTCGCTTTATTACAGAGACACTGCTAAAGAGTCATACAGATGGTTGTGTATATTATAGCCCATTAACTGCTCAGCTTGTAGAGCTCGAGCAATAAATCATCCAGACCAAGACATCAGCCAGTATTACAAGAAACTGTAGTGCAGAAATGCCAAGCAGGGTTTGAGGTAATTTAGAAATGGTCCCATTAAGCTGTTTGAAGGCATGAAGGGAGCATTTAATGGAGAAAAAAAAATCTAAATATGTAATTTTGATACATGGAAATTAGTATGCATATGGTAATCAGTTACTGAAGAGGAACTTTAAACTTCCAAATGTCGGCATCAGCTTCAAGATTTCATCATATCTTGATCTGTGACAGCGATGTCAAGAATTGTAAAGAACGTTGTTTTTGATTTCTGCATTCTTATCTTTGACTTCTAACTAAAGCATTTTCTTTTCATGATCCCTTCAGAGCAGTCCATCAGCATTGTGCGGGAACTTAGTTCAGTAGAAGTGACAGAACCCTTTGCAGCTGTTTTTGAAGTTGAAATCAGCATGGAGCTGGTGAAACCTCCCATATGGACTCTGAGTGGAGTTGCTGTGCAGGAGGGTGCTGACGTTGAGATGGAGAAAGAGGGCACTCTGCACCGCCTCACTTTCAAAAAGACCAAAGCATCGATGACGGGACCCGTGCAGTTTACAGCTGGGAAGAGCAAATCTTTAGCTCAGCTCACAGTCAAAGGTAAACGTTTTGAACAGCAGTACAGCTGTAGAGAAATATTTCCAGCTGAGTCTAATCACATTCTGTTCTCGATTTCAGAGCGTCCGCTTGAGATCGCAGAGCCCATCAAAGATGTGAAGGCGAAGGAGAAAAGCTCAGCCATACTCAGCTGCAAGTTCTCTGCCTCACCCAAAGAGGTTAACTGGTACAAGGGCCAGGCACCTCTGGCAGCATCAGACAAGTATAATATCAAGCAAGATGCTACAAGGGCACAACTCACTATCCATAAGTTGACTGTGGAAGACACTGGAGAGTACCGCTGTCAGTCTGGACCTGCTGAGACCAAAGGCACACTTCATGTTGAAGGTGAAGTTTGCATCTTTGAATACCACAGACTACACAGCAATGATATGTGCATGAACTGTTCTAATAGGGTATTTGACAGGCCCTCAGACTAACTGCTTTTACGTTTTTACTGCCTAGCACGCGAAATTAAGATCACCAAGCACCTGGCTGACACCGAGGTTGATGAAGACAGCGATGCAGTGTTCACCTGTGAGATTAACTATGCAGATGAAGAGGTGCAGTGGCTTCTGAATGACAAGGTGCTCTTCACTAACGAGGTCAACACCATCACTCATGAGGGGAAGACTCACAAGCTCACACTGAAGAACTTGGCACCTCAGGATGGGGGAACCATCAGCTTCCAAGTCCGCAAGCTGAAAGAGTCCGCCACGCTTAAGGTTAAAGGTGAGAACTGCCATTCACTACATTAACAAGTACACTAAAAAGTCTTCTCCCTCAGTTTGATGAAGGGAAGTTCCTCAGGTACTTGACATTTCAGAAATTAATTAACTGACAAAACCCAGGAATAATGAGATTTTTTGAGCGGATATAAATGGTGTCACCAGGGCTGATCCCTGTTAATCCTAAAAATGAGAATATAATAAAGACCTTAGTCATTCTTTGCTTCTTCAATCTTCCTGCAGAAAAGCGTGCTGTGTTCCTCAAGTCTCTGGATGATGTCATTGGAGAAGAAAAGGGCATGATAACTCTGGCGTGTGAAGCGTCCAAGCCGAGGGTTTCCCCCACGTGGAGGAAAGAAGGTAAAGTCTTAAAAGCTGGACCAAAGTATGAGCTCCTTCACACAGGCAAGTCTTTGGGACTGATCATCAAGGATGTCACCAAAGACGATGCTGGAGAGTACAGCTGTGATCTTGGCACTGAGGTTTCTAAGTCAAAGGTCACTGTTAGAGGTAGGTTGTTTTTTTGTTTTTTTTTTTAAAGTATTGTTACACACAAGTAATGCGATATATAGTTAAATATTTCCCCTTTGCTTTCTACCCTAGAAATTGGCATTGGAATCACTAAATGGCTGAAATCAGCTGAGGTGAACGAGGGAGAGACATGCAGCTTTGAGTGCATCCTGTCTCGTGAAAGCACAGACGACTGCTCCTGGACGGTTAATGGTCAAGCTGTTACCAACGGAGGCCGCTTTAAGATCTCCAGTAAAGGACGCAAGTACATGCTGACTATTCAGGATGTCACCCCTGCGGACGCTGGTGAGGTGGTCTTCAACATTAAAGACCTGAGCTCTAAAACAACACTAACAGTTGAAGGTAAGCTAAATATTAACTTTTAAGAAGCCCTGACAAAAATTACAGTGTTAAAATACTTGTTGTCTTTTGTTGCAGGCAAAGCGTCGTCTGTATCAAAAGCCCTGCAGAATATTTCTGCCGTTCAAGGGGAAGATGCTGTGTTTACCTGTGAGGTGATACAGGCTAGTTCCACTGTAAAGTGGGCCAAGGAGGGCAAAGCCATCAAAAAGAGCCAGAAGTATGATATCAGCCAGCAGGATAAGGTGATGAAGCTGATCATCCACAATGTGTCTGCGCAAGACTCTGGAGAGTACAGTTGTGAAGTTATTGGAGGTGCAACCACCAAAGCCAAGCTGGAAATCAAGGGTGGGACTGAAAATGCCACATTCACTTCTGTCTTACTGCACTTTTTATCTTTTACAGTGTACAAACATGTCAGAGACTTTCCTATGAAACACATATTGTTATAAAAAGCTGACCAGTATCTTGACTAAATATGCAGTGAGTTCTTGGATCATCTTGTTTTATGAAGCAATACATCAACCCTACAGATTCATACATACTGAGTGAAAATTCTGACAATGTTTTCTTTTTCCAGAGCCAATCCATAAATTCACCAAAGCGCTAAAGGACAGCCAAGCAGATGAGAATAGCTCTGTGACCCTGCAGTGTGAGACGGCACAGACCCCGTCCACGGTGATATGGCTTAAAGGTCACACAGAGCTCAAGCCTGGAGGTCGGTATGAGATGTCCCAGAAGGAGGGGGTCTTGACTCTCACCATCAAACAGCTGGAGGAGAAAGACACGGACATCTACACTTGTGATGTGGGCACGGCCAAGAGCATGGCCAAGGTGACCGTTAAAGGTAAGACCCTGAGCATGCATGTACGTATGTTTGGGGTAAGTTGTTTGTCTTGCACACAGGATTATCTTCATAAATTCTGTTTCATGCATACGTGGAATGTTACATGCCAAGTGTTTGTGTTGAAAGAGACGACGAGGCAGTTGTGTGGAAGGTAATTCCTGCTGTTTGATTGTTGTTTAGCAGGTGCTATTTACTGTTATTCAGTAAATATGTGATGCCGTCACCGTTTGGGGATGACCTGTATTCATTTGTGCCCGTTTGAGTTGGTCCGTGTGGAACTTTGAGAATGCCACATTCACGTAGCTCATAGTTTGGTTTTGAAAGCCAGCCTGTAGAACAACTGTATGATGTTCATCATTTTGAAGGGGAATCTGTTTTCGTTTGCTGCATCAGTCCTACTGATAACGGTCCTCTGAGCACACCCCTCTGCTGCCAAGCCGTCTCAATTATATCAAGGGTCTGAAAGGAGGTGTCCATTCTCTGACCTGGCTCCCAGAGACGGGCGCCATCTCCGTCATTGCTGGAGATCAGGACGTATGCGCATCACTTGTTGCCATACCAACTGATACTGCCCCCAGGCACTTACAAATCTAATTACAGTGTGTAGATGTGTATGAATAGATGTAGATTATTGCTAAATCTTTTTCATTTTCCTAAGTTTGTTGCCATGTGTGTCACTGAATGGTATGCTTTGCTTTTGTGTTCAGTGCCATCTCTGTTCTCTTTGACTTGAATTGTGTGCGAATGTGAGATTGTTTGCACATCCGCAAACTGTGAATGACAGCCATTAGCATGTGTTGATGTTTGTAAGTGACCTGTACCTAAATGCATTTGCATTTAAGGAAAATTTTTATTCTGTAGCACAGTAGGAGGAATTAGGTGTTGCTCATAGATAAGTGCACTGCTGTACGTAAACCTTCATCAAAAGGAGCATCAGCCCAAATCATATTTGGGCTCCAAAGGCTAGTGTTGGACAACTTGGAGCATCTCAACTCACCCATCATCCTCATCTTTATCATTTTCCATCCTTCTTCACAACCAAACAAAATCCGTCACCCAGTTTCAAAGTTATTGTTCATTTTATTTTAGCCCTGCCTGCCACTTTTAATGAGACGCTCAAAAACCAGGACAAAAAGGAAGGGGAGACAGTGACGCTTCGCTGCAAGTCATCAACGCCTGCAGCCAACATTCAGTGGAAGAAAGGCTCTGAAATTCTCACACCAGGAGAGAAGTATGGCATGACCCAGAAGGAGACCATTTGTGAACTTCAGATTATGAATTTGAAGGTTGAAGATAGTGGAGAGTATTCTTGTGTGTGTGGAGACCAGAAGACATCTGCAACCCTGAAAGTCAATGGTATGGAGCCACGATGTCCCTTTCGGCAAACCTTTGGAAAGCTATATGTCAGTTAAAACATTTGTTTTTTATTTCACCTAAAGTAATGGAAACTTGCTTGTACAGCTTTGCCACTGACCTTTAAGCAGAAGTTGGAGAACCAGGAGGCTGAGGAGGGAAAC